TGTGTGTGTGTGTGTGTGTGTGTTCCAGAGGAGTTTGCTCAAGGCCACAAGTATTTCGAGCTGGACCTCAGTTTAGGGAAATCAATAACATTCATAACAAATCAAGGATATTTACGATATCTCATACCAGCATGAACACTGAACCCAGTCAATGAAGCAGAGAACTGGCATAATATGCATGTCAATATATGAGCAAACGCATTAACAACATTACAACATGGACTTTGCCGACCCGACAAAAAGAGCGGATAAAGTCAATTACGCATCTAATGTTCAGTCACTGGGAGCATTTGTAATGAAAAGTGTTTCATGGCTCTATATTTACACTCTATCCCACTATTTTGACTGCAGCTGCAGCAGCTCTGGTAAAGGGGCTCTTTATTTGGCTCCATCACAGGCTCACTGTGCGGCTCTGTCACTTGACTGGGTCTGGCCCAGACAGCCTGTCGCACTGAGGCTCAGCATGGAGGATAAGCTGCAGCGCTGCACAGGACAATGAGGAGGACGAGAGAATAGAGCCTGACCGCACAAACGCTGGAGGTACAAGAAGGAGGATTTACAGTCTGCTGCTCAGAAAACTGACCACACGTTCATTTCTGTTGTGGCTTTCAAAACTTAACAGCTTAACATTAGCTATGTTGTATTAAAAACGGGAGATAATGGCTCACTGGTAAAGGAAGGGTTAGAAATTTGGGGAATATTGCTTATTCTCATTCCCAGTCTACTCTTAAATTTTAGCTGGGGCTGGGTGGTTAACTCTGCATTAAGACCAGAAACCTGGTTCAGTCCACAGTTAACAAAATTTGCCTATAAGCAGCTCTAACACTCACAATGTAACATGTTATTAGTTATTTATTGAATCCATACAAAAACTAGAGCAAACAACATCCAGCTCTGACTCTATCAGAGATCCTGACCGTGCAGAGGAGCCACACTGGAGCTATAAGACAGAGGATTTACTGTCTGCATTTTCATTTGTTGCGCATTATATGGTGAAGGAAAAGGAATAATTTGATGTTTTAGGAAAGGCTCCATGCTCGGCACAATGATTAGATAAAGGTTGGGAAACTGCTAGCCTGCGTCTGTCCAAAGGTAAACAATCTGCCAGCTCTGAAGCTCCCTACATAAACATTGATTTAATCCATATTAAAACCAGAGAAAAAAATATTATTTGTGGTTCTATCAAGGATTGTATATGGCAACATATATCATCGCTTTAAGGTTGCCGGGCAACCAGTGGCGAAAGGAGGCATTTCTTCAAGATAAACTAAGCTAAACTAGGCTTCTTACTGTAGTTTCATTTTTAACATAAAGAACTGAGAGAGGTCTCAATCTTAACTTTTAGTTACCTCTCACTTCTTTCAAGTACCATGCCCACAGTGGGCACCACAGGCTTTCTGGTATAAGTTATTAGTTTTCAGGCCAGGTGACCAAGACAGCATCACTATGAGGCCATCATTATGATCATGCAGGTTATTTCCACAAAGTGAGATGATAAGAAAGCTCCTTTAACACTACGGTTGGCATTAAACAACTTCTTTTTTTATTGAACAGCACTTAAATGAATCTTAATGTGTAAAATTGATAGAGTGTCCCTTTAATTATCCTTCCCCACAAAGCATACCTCTCCAGGTCGTATCTTGATGTAAAAGTTGCTCCTCTTATAAGAGATCTTTAGGATCTTTGGCCAGGCAAAGCGGTTGATTCTCAGCCTATCTCTGTAAATCAGCAGACCATTGGCACAGACGCCGAGCATTATTTCAATCCCTTCAGAATCCTGCAGCAAACATGGGGCAGAACACAGGCAGAAATTATTCATGAGAAACACTGTATGTATCCGAGAAGACTATTGTAATTTCATTCAAATAAAATGATATGAAACAATTTGAGGAAGAGTCGACCTTAGCATGGTGGAGGTCCACACCGTACATGGACAGTTTCTTCGCATTCTCCAAGAAGTTAATTTCAGCCTCTGCTGGAGTCATCCCCCTGCAGGCAGAATAACGTTAATATCTGTAACCAACATCAACAGGCCCTCTCAAATAATAAACCCATAATCTTGCACTGTGGGAACAGAATTATCTTGGTAATATGCTTGATAAATTCATTTCTTAATTCGTTGCATCCATCCCCCCAAGCGTTATGTTTGATTGCATGCCAAAAAGCAAAGCCAAATAAGAGCATCGTGTAGGCCCTCTAACTGAGTGGAAGTGTTCTCACACTGTCAAGACCTGACACAGTTAACGTCTCAATGGCAGATTGTGCAGTAATATGGTGGCATCTATCTGCCATGTGCATGAGGGAATGTTTCGACACAACGTAAAACTCATCAACCCATAAACCCAGGAGATTTGTTCACTGATGAAAATCTGATTGAAAGAACAGTAAGTCCGGTACTTGTAGTTTCGATGGAGCTCCATCACCCTCTCCTCCAGCTCGCGAGTCTGATTCGGGGCAAAGCGGAAATCGCTGACATAGTCGGAGCCGTGGTCCTCCTGGTCATAGTCTCCCAGCTCGGCTTGAACGGAGTAGGAGCCCAGTAGGGCGTGAGTGACGAACGAGCAAGGCAGTCGACCTGACAGCATGTCATCCCTCAGCTGCAGACATAGGTAGTATCTGTCAGACGAAACAAAAGGGGAGGAGGGTGTTGGCAGTCAAACAAGTCTGAGCCAAGGCAAGCTCCAACAAGTATTCAGCATAGTTAATCCACAGCAGTTAGTGGCATTTAAGGTTGAATCTTTAAAAAGGAGAGAGGGATTTGGGTTGCTTTGACAGAAGGGCAAATATGCCTCGTAAATTGTTACACTGCTTTCATGTAAACACTTATCTTTAGGAAAATGACAAAGGTGAAAATGACATATGTCAACAATTTCTGCTTTCATTTACTGTGAAGAGCATCTGGTAGCGCAGACAGGAGAGTTACAACTGTTGACTATATGTGTGTGTGTGTGTGAGAGAGAGAGAGAGAGAGAGAGAGAGAGAGAGAGNGTGTGTGTGTGTGTGTGTGTGTGTGTGTGTGTGTGTGTGTCTGTTCTACCTGGTGATATCCTCAGTGAGCTGGGAGGGGTCTGGAGGGTAGAACTTGACTGCGAAGGCAAAGTTCCATGGAGAGTCTGAGAAGAGAGTAAGTGGATGTTCAATAATATGTTTGTCTTAGGACGTATTGCACAAAATTATAATTAAAAGTCAAACGGAATTGTATCTAATAACTTGACATAAAAATTTGCATCACTTCATTTGCAAGAAAATGTGATTTACGGCTTTTCCAATTAAATTTTATTTATATTTATCATCTCAGTGACTTGGAAAAGACACTCACTGCGCATCTGCTTCTTGATCTCCTTGGAGGGGTCCAACCAGTTCTGAAAAACAGAAGGCAGAATTCACAGAGGGCAGCTGGAAACATGGTTGATGCACACCCCGGTGTCGCACTCTGCTCTAATTGCTGTCAATGTTCCTAATGAAAGCCTCTCCATATGGTTGAATAAAGCAAGTGAGCCCTCTCCAGCTGAGGCGTTCAAACGTGCGTAGAGCAGATTTAATTCAAGCATCTGTTGTGTTCATTGTGTCGCAAAATCACTGGCAGCCAGATACCTATCTGATCTCATCATATCCAATCATGCAGTGAACCGCTTCACCAATAGGGACCCTATTTCTGATTTGGCTATGAGAGCATCTCATCAGTGGTTCAGTGTACACTGTCTCTCTTGTAACAGCAACTGTGGATCGTGTTGACTGGAGGTTCAGCAATGAAGAGAGAAAATATTCATATTCAATATCTGACCCTGCAAAAAAATGTGGAACTGTTTACAAGTTAAAGTACAATATTGCATGAAAAAAAAGTTCCATGGAATCTGTTGTATCAGTTTTATCCTTTTAATGAACTATTGATAATAATGTCTAGGTCTTCGCACAGTTGACAGACTGAGAGGAGTGAGGATCTACATCGAGAACTAAAGGAAAGTGCAAAATGACAAAATAACAACCGTCTATAGGCTCAGAAACCCCACACTGTTAGAATACCTGTCCTCTTGTCTGTTGTCATCCTCTTCTCTTTCTCTGATACAAGTCAATCAATCAATCAATCAAATTTTATTTCTATAGCCCATATTCACAAATCACGATTAGTCTCATAGGGCTAGGTGTGACATCCTCTGCCCTTAACCCTCAACAAGAGTGAGGGAAAACTACAAAAAAAGTCTGAGTCGACATATTGTATATCAAGCAGTCTTGTTGTAATCATAGTCCACGATCAGCTGACACCAAGTCTAACAGAGTGTTGTCATATAAAACCCCTGTCACATCAGTTGTAGATTAATCCAATTATTTGAAATTAGTACTTCCCAGTTTAAGTCTTTATTTGTCATTGGATAATATGTATGTACTACAGTACAAACACAACAAAAAATCTAACTAATATTTATAATAATAATTTGTTACTATAAAATACTTGCACAGGTTTTGGGGCTGTCTGTTTCATTTTGTCAGAACACTTTGTAAGCTTTGCCAATACTAAGGAAGATAAGAGGTTAAATAACCCATTTTAACATCTGCTCAATAATCAGTAATTAAAGGGTTGGCTTGATAATGGCTGAATGATTCAGAAAATAACTAAAGTACTGTTAAGGGGGGTTTACTGCATCCAGAAGGTAGAACAATAAAACAACACAATCCATTACGACACAGTTACAATTGTTTTTAGTGTCATGCTCATAAACACCCATCAAAACTGTGATGATGTGACATGATGGAAATTCTAAATGCCAGCAGTCGTACAGTGGTGCTTTAAGCTAAATGCTCAACATGCTACCATGTTCACAGTGACAATGCTAGCAGGTTGATTATCTTAGTTAAGCGTGTTGGCAGGAAAACCTTTGCTACCAAACACAATAATAAAGCAGATAAATGTTATTTATTTTGCAGGAGTTTGATAATATTAATAATAATGGCACAAGGTGCAAAACTGATTTCATTGCAAACCATCTAATACATTTGGAAACAACTTCACGGTGGTGGAAAACTAAAGTTCAGGCTTTCATCAAAGTCACTGAGATGTAGTAGAAAAATAGACCAGCCAGCAATCGCTGTTGTCTGGGCTCATTGAGTGAACCAGCAGTCGCCTAGATATTACAATTGGGAGCAAAGTGATGGACCAGCTAACCAGGCTCTGACATCCCCAGAGCCACACTGACAGATCGTCTAAGGACATAAATCCAATCAAAACACAGGAGCAAAAATAAATATTGGCAGATATGGAAGCTTACACACAGGGATGGGGGTTGATACCATTTGCTACTTTGATCGCTGCACATACACATAAACAGGTGTTTGCAGGAGGCGAGGTAGTTGTGTGCTGCCTGTGGTGCAGAGAGCTGACAGTGATCCTCACTAGCCTGAATACCACACAGCAGCTGCTTATTAATGCTGACAGTATTTTTGCCAGCTGGTATCACATCAGTCAGAGTGGAATCAGGAGTATGAAAGGTTGATACAGTGCAGTGCACTCCTGTGGCCTTGTTGGGCAAACTTCAAGCATCTCTGGCAATACTGAACTGGGCCTTCACGTACACACACACAGTGACTTACACAGGCACAAACACACATACACCTTCAGTGTTTAATCATGCTGCTAAAGACTTTCATGAGCCGCAGGCATTTATCGCCCCCCCCTTATATCAGCCAAGGCCAAAGGAGCACTCAATTAGTAAGGTTCTTTCTCTGCCGCTTTGCTTTTCTCTGCAGAAAAGAAGAAGGAACTTTTAATCACTGACTGATCAAGGCTTCACTCCTGCGTTTGCAGCATCAGTTCATACAGCAATCACACAGAATAAATGTTCTCCTGAAGAGCAAAAGATTAAATCCTCATCCCCCAGCTGAGACAGAGAAAGGGCATCAGAAATTACATTTCAATTCTCTTTTTTGGACCAGCAAGCATCGATGACCCCAGACGGCAGATTCAAGCTGCACTCTGATAAGCCCGTTTTTCTGAGCTGCAGCCTGACCTAACCTCAGAGAGAGGAAAACATTTGAAGCCTGTTTACCTCTTAACCGCACCAGCTAACCTGTCCACATGGGCCGAGATAATGTTCAATCCAAAGCTGAAGTCATTAGGCACACGTCAAGTCACAACATGTGAGCTGACAAAGCATGCACAGGATGATGATGGTGAGTTAATGCTCCAAATGTTAACAGAGACTTAGTCTTGTCATCTTCCCTATCTTCAAAAGCCAGGAGGTTCCTCTGTAGCTTGTTGTGCAACCATACCTGCCCTTGGGGAGTCTTGCGTCAATCAAACCCTTAAACCCACATCCAACAAAGGGCTGTCATGTGAACCAGTCAGTTCAGTGTCAGTCACATGATTATATGATCAGAAACCTGGTCTGTGCACCTTATAACAAGTCAACAGAGATCAGACTTTCTATTTGAAGTGAGCTTATTGGAGTTAACATGATGTGCCCAGATTGTGATGTGTGTTCTGAAACAGACTTGGTGCAGAGCTCTCTGAAATCTTCATGAAGGACTATTTCCTTATTAAAAATGTAGGGTAGTGGATTTTTCAGTACTAATCAAGACATACTTTCTTGTTGCAGTGTTGCAGTTAACAATTAATAAAATGTATAACACGTGGTCTCACCACAGTCTGCAGTAGCAGCTTCCAGCTCATTGTTTGCTGTACTGTTGTTGTTCTCTCTCATAAGCATTGTTGCTAGTCATAGCAATCCTGACCCTGCTCAGACCTGGTTATCACAAGTGGTCGGCAACCTCAGGTCTAAACGCACCTGAATACGTCCTCAGAGATCAGATCAGTCAGATCACATTCAGAGGTGTTCCGTGACACATCACTGTGTGAACACAAATGTGTCCTGGGCCACATATGAAGGACCACATACTCAGCTGATGACTTCTGACCTGCTGCAGTTTCACAATGAATTGAACATATTTTTACCATTTTCAATTTCTCAGTGCCAACGGTTGATTCTTTTGTGGCCACCACCACAATATCAACACTGATCAGAACATAATGATTAATAATTTTGCTAAATTGGTAAAAATCTTTTTTCACAGTGCATCTGCCATAGATTCATGAAACCCTTCCTGACAACTCTCTCTCTATGCCTTTCTCTCTCTCACTCGCATTGAAACACATACATACAAACACAGTGACATCATAAAATAAACTCAGAATGGGTAAACACATCATTTGGTCTAAGAGAACAGACATTAAGAAATGTATATTTGCATGCAGAGCGGGGAAGTGAGATATGATCAAAAATGATCACCGGAGAACAACAGGGTACATTTTAATGCTAGGTGTAAACATGCGTACTTAACGCTGACCATTTGTGATGGGATCTCTCAGGACAGATGTTAATAGCAGGTCTGAAGAGGTTCTAGATACAGCTAGTGAGCATATGGCATTTAGCACCTTCATACGAGTTAATAGGACTGAATTTTGGACCTCAAACTAACACATCGCCTCATTTTGTGAATCCATGCATGTCTCGCTACCACCAGCATTAAGGGCGGTTTCTTAGGTAACTCAACACTTTCACAACAAACTCAAGAATGCATTTTAGCCATATTGAGGCAATTAGCACTTAACTCTGTCTGATCTGAAAGTTAAGCCTCAATCTAAAGTGACAGGCTAAAGGTTGACTGGTTAGTTATTCTGCTGTTCAAGCTTCTATGGTTACATAAGAAAGATTAAAAGAAGTCAGCAAACTAATTCCGACCAAACTTTACTTCTTATCTATTCAAATTTCTCTGATAAACTCTGGCTCTTGGCTTCTGTCTATAGAGGTTTAAATCAACCTCTGGAGGCAGATTTATATATTTCTGTTTCCAGTACAGATTTGCCTCTGAGAAATATTTCTCTAACTACATTTCATATATGCATGTTGCAAAGAGTAGATGAGCGGTTTTTTTTCATCTTCTCCTCTACTGCACAAGTTTTTCAATTGCCTTTTGTCCAGACCCAGACATCGAATGGAAATTTCCATTTTTCATTCATCTTTGAATGATGGATAGTGCACCCCTCAGAGAGCTGACCCAGCCAACAAGTGAGAGGAATACAGATTGTTCCGTGAGCAGCATGTTTAAGCACTGAAACATCCCACAAGGTTATCGAGGTACACAATTCACTGACCTTCTGGGTGTCGGTGTCAGCAAAGGTCAGGCCGAAGTAGTCCTTCTCCAGTAAGTTGAGGTGCTCACACACCATGTCCATCAGGGTCTGTCCTTTTGAGTGTTTCTGTGAAGACAAAGATAAAGGACACAGCAGTGGTAAGAATGTCAAAAGAAAGCAGAGGAGAGAGTCTATTGCCAGCAAAGCTTAGTTTTTCAGGGCAAACATCAGACCCTATTAGACAACTTTTTTTCTCAAGACTGCTTTCCTTTTCTCGGGCTCAGAGCAAACAGCTCAGTCATTCGGTGTTAAGTCAAAACCAGAGTGCATCAAACACAATGGATTGTGGACTGCTGGTCTTTGCACTGCATGCAGGGATTTCTTCTGCTATTGACAGCATTACAGGTGAGCTTCACATCATCATTTACTTGGACACTCAAGACACAAGTTTGTTTTTCACATTCAAGTGGAGTTTTTTCGATATATTTGACTAATAAACATCAGGATGTACAAATGAACATTTTGGCTGACTGTGCTTAGACCAGGATTTGTAGAGAAATGGATGTTTTTGGTGAATAGCCTGTATAAAAGTAGTGTACCTAAGTAGAGATGTAGGGAAGCAACAATTCAACCTTGTGACATCTGAGAGAAAAGTATGTAAAATACGTTACGATATGAAATCAACTCAAACTTTTTTTTAGTTTGGATTTTATAGTGCTCTGATTATAGTGCTCAGAACCACACATATTGCCAATGATCAAACATTACACACCCAAACCTAAATCTGTCTGAACTGGTCTGTTCAACAGTTACTAACAGTGGGAGACCCACAGCTCGAGATAGTGACTCACAAGCATCCAAACATGAAGGTCATAGGAGTTTTCATATATAGAAACAAGAATAACATTAATTTATTTCACATATTCTAATCCCCATTACTGATTATTAATTGTCTTGGACACACTGCCCTATGTAAAGATTATTATGGATTATTTAAAGAGATCTTGAAAATCTCTTACTGCAACCGCAACCAAACTTGCTTATTATTTAAAGCCAAAAGGAATCACATCTAAAGAAAATTCACTTCAATTTCAGGCATTTTTTGTAGTGCATGAAATATTGACAATGCAACATCGATTCATGCAAGAGCTCATCTGCCACTGTCAAATATTGAACAAAGAAGTATGTTAATGTTTAGACCTAACACTGAATCTAGCATAGAGAGTATTATGTATACACACACACACACACACACACACAATGCCTCCTCCCCTTGAGCCTTGGTTGAGGCGACAGGGAGAATGAAGCAAGCAGTTGCCAGGGAAACAGATGCAGTATTATCCCTCTGCTGTCTTGTTTCTACTATCTCAAGGCTACAGGACTTGAAAGACTGTTTCACCTTTGCCTTATTATAGGAGAAGGATGGTGGAGCAACCCTTTGAAAGTGTTTATAAGCTCTCTACCTGTCCCCACAACAGCAACATTGCATATGTAAAGGACGAGCATGCCAATGACCCCAGTTGCAGCCAGCAAAATTAAATAAACAGATCTGTAGGTAGAATTTTAATAGACTATGACTGAGGTGATGCAGCCTATTTGCTCTCTACTCTGGAACAATTAATTATTTGGCTGCACAATAATGATCTCAGCACTTCTGCCACCTGAAATGGGAAAACCCAGGAAAGAATCTTGGCTGCGTACATAGACGACAATCAATTCTACCATAAATAGATGTGTTGTACACATCAGCTCAGCCAGGCTTCATATTCAAATTGCACCACAGTGAGCAGAGGGGTAAGAAGAGCGGGTAAGGGCATAGTGTCAAAGGACCACGGGGATGCAAAGCCATGCATCAATGACAAGAGACTTCATTAACCCATGAATGTAGCGCCCCCTCCCGGGAGAGCCATCCATGTGTGGCCTGCCCTCTTGCAACACTGTTATTACCAGCTCCTGGAGGCGGGTTTGGATATGGCAGGCACAGAATTCTACCCCTGCAATTACAGACACATAGCAGGAGCAAGATCATCCATGACCAGAGGCTGAGGCTCTCAACATATTGTACAATAATAAAAAACACAAGCTGACAAGAGGCTGACAAGAGGCTGAGTCGTACATCCATGGCAACGTTCAGGAAGTGCACTTAAGACACAGAAGCTTTATCGCCATAATGCAAACTCTTCTTGTGGTGTGGAAAAGGCCCAGAGGTATTTCAGAAGATTTTTTCAGTGCTGAGAGAGTAGTCGACAAGCGTAGCATTTCTGATCCTCTCACCTCACACACACTCGCACATAAAAGCCCCCTCAGCCCCAAAGCCTCATCATCACACACAAAGTTTCATGCACCTGTGCATAAGAAACCTACAGGTGGCTCATAATAACATTGCTCTTCTAGTTTCTCCTTGGCTGCACCTGGCTTGCAAACATGTAATAACTATGGATTTCGTAACACCCAGTTAGCAGCCTGTGCCGGGGGCTTTTATTGGACAAAATTAAGTTGAAAGGTTGTTGATATGAATGCTGAAAATAAAAGTTCCAGTAGTGTTGCAAAAACAATAATTTTTGATTCTTTAGTCAATGAAATTTAAACATTTTCCTTAAACAAAATACAGCATCCCAAACTATTTTTGTAAGGGTCATTTGTAACCTGGTGTTGGACGACACAGACAAACCTATTTCGTCTTTTGATACTTGACACTTTTTGATACACAGTGCAGAGAGAAACATTTCCATTGGTGCTCACAAAGTCCTTTAGCTTCAATATCCATAGTCATATTGATGAGCATGTACAATACAGTAAATCTGCTGGGTCACACAGACGTCTGGTTTAAGAAACACAGAGGTGATGAACTGGACTGGACGACACCAATGTGCCCAGACAGATCACATCTCACGTGCAGAGGCGATAGTGCCAGGCAGACACCTCATGATTCATGCATTACATAAATTCTTTCTGAGAGGAATAGAAAGTTGAGCCTTTTCAAGAAATAGCCTAAAATATTGTGTAGTATGTAATTGGTTATAAATTATTACATTACATTATACAGAAATGTGCGACATTTCCTTGGTTTCACCCTCCTGCAGAGCTCACAGCATGGCACACTGTCTTTTATTCTTTTGTTCTCTCTGCCTGTTTTATCCACTCTGTGCAGCACTGTACGGCACACACAGGAAAATAATAACAAGGGGGAATAAAGAGTGCTGCTTTCCAGTTTGTTCAAAGCATTTTAAGGCTAATTCTAGAAAAAGTATTTCTACAGACCGATTTATGTTCTGCATACCTCAATTTCTCCTTCATACTCAGAAGTGTCCAGCAGGGTCACTTTGAATGGGAACGTTTTCAGTCGCTTGGAGCCTTTCTGCGGGGATTTGAGGTTTTTGTTTGACGATGTCTTCTCAGATATTTCTTCTGTTTCTCTGTGTTCGTCCAGATGCTTGGAGTTCTGTTCCTTTACAAATGAAATGAAAAAGAATTGGATTTCATGTGTGGTTACTCATACCTGAGTGAATAAAATACTTAATACAATTTTACGCGCCAGAGTCAGGATAGTGCCTTGAGATTAAGTCCTTTTAACAATATTAGATTTTAACTTTTATAATACAAACATCACAATGTCAAGTTAAAGTCAGCAGTGTAGTCAGCAATATTATATAGTACAAGAATGAAGACAAAATACCACAGATACAGGTGCCGCCATGTGATCGAATAGCAGCCACACTATCAAGGACCCCCAATACACACACTCAAACAATTTGGCCCTTACATGTCCCATTACTAACAGGGAGGAGGCAGGTTATATGTTTTATACTGCAGCCAGCCACACGGGGGTGATCAAGATGACTTGGCCTCTCTCTTGGTTGCTTTCATATCATCGACCTTTTATATACAGTCAATGTTTCAAACACACATGATACTGTCGCAGCAACCATTACTGATGCCATCGCTGCATATGACAGCCTCTCCAGACCTGACAGCTTTTATTCAGTCCAAGCAAGACTGTAGCATTATCAAGATATGCTGAGCGTTAAAGATTTCAAATAAAATAATGACAGAGAGCCAGAGAGAAACCAGTGTCCAGATGACATCCTTGTTCTACACGTCCTTTATCCAATCTGTTCTTATTTTCTCTATTACTACTTTGTATAAAAACATGAACATCAGGGACACTCTGAAACAGCTGGTAGTTACAGGCTGGTGATTCTGACATTGATGGATTTAATGAAGATATTTCTTTAGTTTTAATGGTTGACCTGGTAGAGAAAGAAAATTCTTTGAAATTAGCAAAAATGTACAAAGACCTAAATTAAGACTCAACACAGCCACTGGAAGGTCTGTGTCTTTAGTAGAAGTCAGTTTGAGCAATGCTGACCTGTTTGGCCATGTCCAGCATGCTGTCTGAGGTGGAGTCCTGCATGCCTGCTGCTGCCGCCCCCTGCTGTCTGGGAGGACTCCTGTCTTGCTTTCTTCACCTCTGACTCAGGGCCTGCCTCTGTCGCTTCAGCAAAGTAACGCCAACCTGAGAAAAGAAATGAATGCAGAAAAGGTTTGAAGGAGCATCTCAACAAAGTAGAGCCCCCACTTCATAATACCATGTCAAAACTGTAAAGGTTCCGTGAAGCATCTAACAGTAAAGCTGCATGAAAGTCCTTTACTCCTCGTTTCATTCATCCTCCTCTTCCTAGTATGAAGGAGAATCTTCAGTAGAATTCAGGTACCATGAAAATCCAAAACAACCTGTCTGGAGCCAGTGTTTGGTTTGTCTCTCCTGGGCTACAGTAGAAATATGGCCATCAAACATGGCAGAGGACTGAGTACAGTTATCAATACCAATGTAGATACAAAGGGTTTTTTCTAATCTATTAGAAACACACACAAATGAAAATGTAAACAATAATATGATATCCGATTTCTGCCAATGTCTATCTATCCATTATATAATCTGTTTAGCCTTTGAGGGTCCCAGGTGGGGCACGAGCAAATCCCAGTTGACACTGGTGAAAGGCGGGGGACACCCAGGACAGATCGCCAGGACATATATATAGAACATTCACACTCACATCTTTGCCCAATTTAGAATGAAATGATAGTAATGTTAACTACAGTCATGCGAGGGCCACAGGCAACTTTTCAGGTCACTCTATTTATTGATGGCCGTCGGGACACAAAGAGGATTTTAAAAATAAGATAAAAGGCGTTTAAGGAACAACTTAACAACCCTACTTTTACACATGTTTCTCTAAGAATCAATAGAGCTCAGATGACAGCAGGGGCTGCACCTGGGGATTGTGAAAATTCAAAACACGAATGCATCCACTCTAAAACATTAACAGCACTGGCACCTTGATTGCCTTCACTAAAGATTCTGAAAGCTGTATTTTCTTTATGTAACTGTTTTCACTAAGATAACTCACCTTGCCGTCAGGGACATTTACTTTAATTATAAAATTCCTCACTGAGCCAGATAAGGATTATCCTTTAAGCAAGACACGCTCTGGCAATAAGATGACAATTACCCCCAAAACAATTAATTAGTGAATTAGGCCATGAACCTCACAGCTATAATAGAGCATTTCTATCATCACAAAGGTATTCAACCAAAAAACGATAGAGTCTTATCACTTTTCCATGAGCCGGTATGAATTCATGTAATGCTCCAGTCTATATCACTCCATAGTGGAATGGACTATGTAATTGCCAAGAATGCATATCTTGTACCATGATGCATGTTTATGTATAGTCCTTATTTAACAACTCAAAAGAAGGTTACATGCTAATGTCACAAAGTAATGACACAGAGATGTGCACAGAGTAGTGCAGGTGCTTGAGGTGTTATCACTTATCTTGAAAAATATTAAAGAGATTTGAGGAACTTGATTGAGACTGTTGTCATAGAAAATCCTGTTTTAAATGTTTTATTAAAATAGTGATTTGCAATTCACAATACAGTATGTTTGATGAATATATTAAAGAAATTATATAATATATATAATATTATATTTTAATTTGCTACTTACACTCATATTAAGGCTGTGTGATATAACTATATATATATATATATATGTGGCAATAGAAAAACATTTATACTTTCACTTTATGCTTTTTTTTTTTTCTTATATTGTAATGCCAAATATCGCTCTTTACAATGTGCTTCAGCATTTGAACAGTGCTTTTTGTTCTTTAACACAGCACAGATGAATAAATTTGCCTGTAGGCACTGAGTAGAGAACAAATCTCCACCGAGGCCCAACAGTCCCCTTAAATTCAATCAAGCCGCACCAAATTTCAAACACTCATAGATGTCAATACACTAAATGTATTAGATTTTTTTCTTCCGTGAATTATTCCCTGCCCCCTGATGCAGATCCACACCAAAAGTTTCGTAGGAATCTGAACAAACAAAACAAACAACTAAACCAACAGGGTGAAAACATAACCATGGCAGAGGAAAAAAAAACATGGAGCATGAACGAAATAACTCTGAGACTAAATGAGGAGCGTGTACCTTAGAGAGGGGCAAGTCATGGTAATGGTTAAGAATTGAAAGGTCTGACAGAACAGAAAATCGTCCCCGCTGCAGTCACAGATCTGTCCTCACAACAGACTCAAACACCACTGACCTCTTTTACCTCCTACAGAAGAATCCTGTCTAACGGTCCAAAGAGAGTCTACAGACGAGAGCCCCAGAAGTACAGTTGAGAGCTCAAAACAACTCCAGACTCACATGTTGCAAGAGGCTCTTACCTGCAGAACATCCTAAAGAATCATGTAGCGAGTATCATTTAGGTTATACTTCATGACCTCACAAAAAACAAGTGAGTGTATTTGCGAAAATGTCAAACAGTTCTCTACACAGTGTACAACAGACCTTAATGTTAAGCATATACACATATTACCTCTGTTGCAAGATCTCATATCTTTTCGGAAAGGAACCACTTGATGTCAGATTTACTTTGAAGAGCTCAGGAAATCAAACACAGGTGAAGTACTTTGTTCACATTGTAGAATTGTTGTGTGGTAATTCATATTCTTTTCTGTCAAGTCTTGTGTCACCACTTCAACTCTACATTGTGATGTCTTATGAGCCCACGTGGGCCGGGTACTTTCAAGTGCTCGGTGCAAGAGTGAAAACCACAGTGTGTGCACCACTTTGTCATGTTACTGACAGCTCTGCCTCCCACCACAGTGTTTCTCCCTGTATGACTGCATGATTGTTGAATGAATGAGCAAAGTGGAATTAAGGAAAACAAGCCTTTGCTCTGTGAGAGTGAAAACCTGACATCCACTGTGAGTGATACTGAGAGCTGAACATTTCCTGCTGCGAAGATGACACTGTCCATTTTTAGTGGGGAAAATAGGCTTGCTTCACATATTTTTGTAACTCAGGGTGGATTTTGTTAAAGCCTCCTCACAATCCCGGGCAGAAGATGCTCATGACCCTGGAACATGTTCTTCATTGACCTTTTATAAAAGGAAGGTAAAGCACATAATGTGTGAACATAGCCTCAGTGGGATCTGCTCAGTGCCGCATGTAAGGATAATGTCTGTGTATTATAGAATTCACTCGGGACCTAGTATATAACCCAGTCTCTGTGTGACCCTGGAAGTCTCTGCAGCAAATCACATCAGCATAATGCACCTGTGGGTGATCATGGCTGTCATTGCAAGAACACAACCGGTTCACACTGGTTCAAAGGAGAGACAACCCTCCCCCGACTCCCAGCCTGGAAGGCTTTGACATATTGCACGTGGTCAAAGGAGAATGAAACCCCTCCCTCCTTACTGCTTCTATTCCTCTGTTGTGCTATAACAATTGTCCCATTACTTACAATCACAGCGTTCTGACAGAAATAAATTCGACAAACATGAAGCCTGGAGTGATATGTCCGCTCAGGGTCTCATTTCCCCCTCCCTGTCTGATCCAGCAGGGCACTGTGCTATACTATATACTTGCTAAATCAATTTACCCTCACTGGTTGAGTCATGGATATGCCTGCTAAGAAAATCCCTGATTGGGGAGGAAAAACTCATTTGGCTGTCGTGTTTTGATGGCGGAGGAAGCGGACATTCAGCGCAGCCATGTCTATCTGTTATCACATACGCCTCCCAGTCCGAATCAGTCATGCTGAAAATAAGGAACGTCTCCCCCGTGTGCTTTACAGGTGCGCACTCTCTCATTCTGTCCAAGTCAACACAAGCTGACGTCCCCCCTCACTTAACATCCATCTGGGCTACATGACACGACATATTCATCTACCATCTCTACTGTGGTGTGTTCACAGCAACAAATTACCTCGAACAGCTCCAGTCCAACCATTTCTGATGCCCCACTGTGCACATCACTCTGTTCTGAACACATTAACGAGCACACAGCCGACCATGACACATTTTCTGACCATATCCAGATCAATAGTTACTGTGGCCCTAAAAGAATTGTGCGACACATGTATACCAAAGATGAAAAAGCCCTCAGAGGACACACGTGCATGGTGAGGGCACATATTTAAAATTGAGAACCCAAACTACATAATCCAAAGTTAGTTAGTGGTAAATGTGGTCCATTATTGAGACATCTTCTCATGCAATCAGAATCATTACTAAATCAACACAAATTGATGTCATAGAGTGAAGCATTGGAGCCCTGCAAATGCATTAATTTCCTGTTACAGACCATTACCCACAATTGCCTCCATTAAGCCAGCGCCTGAGACCTCTGCAGAGAAGAAGAAAGCACCTTTAAGTGCAGCATGCACTGTGTGTGTTTCCTTTGTTATGCACCATGCATGGTTCACTGACAATGTCTGTCTTTGATATCTGCCATCAGTAATAATGATTCATCACAGAGAAAAGCACCTCGTTTCCTTGGAGGGTTATGAAACGCTACTCTTCCTTAACAAGTGCAGCCTTGTCCCTTGTTCCTCCTGCCTCTTTCTCTTTCTCTTCATTCTCATCAGATTTACGCTTTAATCTAAGTCAGGCAAGCAGAGGGAGAGTGAGAGAGGGAGGACGCATGTCTGTGGAGGAGGACTGGCTCGGCGCCGAGATGCAGTTGCCATGGTAACAGCATAGAGTATTCTTCTTTCCTTTTTTTTCACACCCGATCGTCTCTCTCTCCTCGCAGGAGTGATGGAGAAAAAGAAAGGAGGGAAGATGAGAGGCCAAATACGAGGTAGCCAGAGAGACACAGGGATCAAGAATAAACGGGAAAGATAAGAAACGACAAGAGGGAGGAAATAAGATGATGTGGCACCGCTACTCAAAGGAAATGTCAAGCAGCCTCTCCTCTGGTCAGCAGTGGAGGAGCTGCACACAGGGACCGACAGCAGAGATGCAGGTTACTGCTGCTAACCTCCCTCACCTGTTTTCTACAAAGCAGCGCCTGCTCCACATCCCGAGCCCTCAAAGTGCACAGTCATCACTGTTTGGCCAATAAACAACTCTAATCCCATTGTACAACCCAGGCATCCATTAGCATGCACGAGCGCACAATGCAGTTTAGTAATCACACGGTGCAGTTCA